GTGCAGCAAAAGCCATTCAGAAGCTCCTTCTTTCTCTTTCTCCTCTGAATATTTTTTAAAAATCACTTCAAGATGAAACTAACCAATCAACATCCTACCAAATGCTGGAGGGTAGGAAATGGGAAATAGAATCTTTTTAGGGAGATGAAATATAGTGGAATTAATTTAAGAGCAATTAAACCCAATGTGTATCCATTTACTAGGTCCCTACCAAACTTAAAAGATAATGCTTCTCAGTTTGGAGACGATAGAGCTCCAGTACCACGGTCTTCTGGGAGCACCTGTACGGAAATAAAAGGCAGATTCATGACCTCCACCCCCCTACCACTCCCACCCTAGAAGGGGAGAACCAGGGAGTTACATTTTAAATAAAATTTCCCCACCAGCTTTTGAGAATCACCACAGCATAGGAAGTACAAAGGAGCATAGTCTGTGTTTAGGCAGCTTACGGTCTAGGTGGGGATGATAAAAAAGCCGGAAGGTGACCTAATCACTGTGTGTTTTAGAAACATTATTCTGGCAGCAGGAGACAGGGTGGACTTGAGAGGGAAGCTGGAGGCAGGGGATCCACTCAGAGGTGTCGCAGTAAGCCCAGAGGGAGATAAGGGCTGGAGGTGCTGCAAGGGGAGGAACAGATGCCGCGTGTCAACTCCCGTCATAGATGTGTTTTTTCATTGCAGGCAGTCACCAGTGCCATTTGAGAGTTGGGAGGCTACAGGTGACAAACAAATGAAGTGTATAAAGGGGTCCAAAAAAAAACAGTCCAGTTATGCTAGTCGTGGTCTTAAGCCCTGGAAAGATGACGGTCTGCCCTCTGATATTATTCAGAATAAAACAACCCTCAAGGCTCATAGGAATGCTGAAATTTTTTAAGTTTTTTTTCCTAAATTTTCCACTTGCAATGCTGTGGATAAATTCACTAGCTGGACCTTTTCTTGTCTTTTTGCTTCCTCCACTTTGCTGGGCTGTAAGAGCAGGCTTAGTCTTCCTGTGAGGTGATTGGAACCAGGTGGATGCCGGGGGAACGGCGTGGAGGTGGAAATAAGGCAGGGGGCACTTTGGGAGGGGTTGGTGGTGGTTCCCCAAGGGGTGATGGACACGGATTAGAAAGTGAGAAGGAGAGGAGTCCTTGAGGAGGTGAAACTGACAGGCTGAGGAACTGCAGCTCCTGGATCAGGCTGAACTCAGCCCAAACTGTTCTAGAATCTAGGTGAGTCAGCTGGGTAACAACTGTGGACATTTGTCCAGAGTTGGGACAGGCTGTCTTTGTCCTTGTGTCCCACTGCAGTCAGCATCAGGTCCATGGGCTCTGACACCTCAGAAGAATGCACCCCTTGACTTCAGGAGAAGGGCGAGAAAATGCCACTGGCTAAAATGAAGCCAAATGATGAACCGAGAATGGGTGAACTCAGCCCTCTGTAGACCCTGCTCTTAGGGGATCTGTGTGAAGCCAGTGAGCCTGAATTGGAAATTTCAATACAGATCAATATCTAAAAGGCCCTAATTTGTCCTATAGTTTTAAAACAACAACAAGAATCTTGTCTATTTTTTCTGTTCATTTTACTTTTTTAAACCAGTGTTCTAAAGCATTTAATCACGGGGCCCTTTAAAAGCATAACTGACTGACTGAATCTGGCCCTGACATGTTTTGTTTCTTTAGTAGAGCATTGAAAAAAAATTTTTTGAAGTAGTTGCCAACATTAAAAAACCAGGTGCTCTCACCTAAAAATCCAAATTACCAACTTCTCTAAAAAAGTCAGACCTGATCACTTTGGGACCTCACTCCCACACAGCCACAGTCTGTTGGGGCTGAGTGGCGGTCATGCTGGGGAAGGACTGGCCCTCTCCATGGCGCCGGAGCCCCGGGACTCACGCCACTGGGCATCAGTTGCCATTTGTCCTCACACCTGTGCTATTTTTTCTTACAGGAAAGAGGTTTAAAAGCCTATTCATACTCAAGTTGCTATTGAAATTGTTGTTTTACTCAGCCTGCTTCCCTCCTTTATGTTACATACCCAGCCCCTGTCAATTTAAGTTGCAAACCCAGTTATAACTCCCATTGACATCACACACAACCGGATGAAGGGAAGGGGGCCGAATAGCGTCCCCACCATTCCTGCCTCACACACTGGTACAGAAATATGAGAACTGGTACTTCAGCAAGCCTTCGGTCCAGGTGATTCCGAGGTGGCCATGAAGTCACCTACCAAGACAACTTCAGGAAAGCACACTTGGAATATAGCTAACATGAAGAAAATTGTCTTTTGAGATGGTGTTCTGTGGCTAACAAAAGAATAGGTGTCTAGAAAGAGGCATGTCAATGAGAAAAGTCCACTTGAGAGTATTCTAGGTGCAAAAAGTTCCCAGGGATTCTTCCTCGGCCTCTTCTGCAGCCTTAGAACAATCTCTTTCACAGTCACTCCCTTCCTTTGGGCTGATACATGCTCACCAAGCAACAAGCTGGTTATAAATTCTATTCCAGGAAACGTGTGTCATGGAAAACAGCTGTGAATATTCTGGTCACTGGACAGCCATGCTCATTCATTCATTGCTCACTTGTAAAATGGCCTTCTGGCATGCATGTTTCTTGCAAGGAGTGGTTAGTACAGGTCTGCATCCCCCAGGACCTGAATTATAAAACTGAACTTCTGACCTTGCAAAGCCGAGGACCAGAATTTCACTGAGTGGCATTCTCACCGAGGAACAGAGAGGCCTGCCAGCCGATCACCTTTTCACTGCTGCATCGTCCACTCCAGCTCCAGGGCTGCAGCCAGAGTGAGACCAGTGTGCCCAGGTCTCCTGGGCCGCAGGAGGTCTCCTGATTCAGTTTGCTCCTGAGCTCCCATTGTCCACAAGAGCTGTTGCTGGTCTCTGACCCTGACCAGGGCCTTGTGCTGTGCCTGACACAGAGGAGCATTCTGTAAGTGAGGAAAGAATTTTGAATAGAAACATGTCAGCAGAAGCCAGGTGACCCCCCATGGGAGATGCTTGAGGGGATTCTTGCTCTGCTTGGGAGACTGTACTTCTTTTTTTTTTTTTTAAGAATTGTTATTTATTTTTAGAGAGAGAATAAAGGAGGGGGAAAGAGAGGGAGAGAAATAACCATGTGTGAGAGAAACATTAGTTGGTTGCCTCTTACACGTCCCCAACCAGGGGACTTGGCCCATAACCCAGGCATGTGCCCTGACCCCTGGAACCGAACCAGTGACCTTTCAGTGTACAGGATGATGCCCAACCCACTGAACCATGCCAGTCAGAGCAAGAGGCTGTACTTCTTTTTTTTTTTTTTTAAAGATTTTATTTATTTATTTTTAGAGAGGGAAAGGAGGGAGATAGAGAGAGAGAGAGAGAGAGAAACATCAATGTGCGGTTGCTGGGGGTTATGGCCTGCAACCCAGGCATGTACCCTGGCTGGGAATCGAACCTGGGACACTTTGGTTCCCAGCCCGTGCTCAATTCACTGAGCTACGCCAGCCAGGGCGAGGCTGTACTTCTTGATGTGGGAAGTCCCTTTGTCTCAGATTCTACAACTCAGCTTCCCAGGCTGGCTGTAGCAGAGCAAGGAGAAGCTACAAGAGTGCCGGCACTTGGCCAGGGGGTAGTCCGAGGTGGGTCCCTGAAGTGAAAGGGCAGTGTTGCCCAGCTGGCATCCATCAGCTTCCTGGTAACCAGAGGTGCTCTCCTGGGATCCCTGGATGCCCAGGAGAGGGAGAGGACAAAGGGGCGGAGAGAAGGAACACGTGGAGAGCTCAGTTTTCCTCTGAGCAGAGCAAGGCAGAAGGGATGGGGCTCTGTTGTGTGGGAAGAGGAGACCTGGCCTCCTCAGAGAGGATGGGCAGGAGGGGCCCAGCAGCCAGGGTGGGTGTGCACGGACCAGTCCTGCCTCAGCATTAAAAAATATTGCATGTCCTTTAAGTAAGGAGAGTTTTAGGGTCTAGTGTTGTGTCCTGTCAACACCTGCGGGTGGTGAGTGAATGGAGAGGATGCAGCAGAACCCCCATGCCCTCTGTGCTCTACTCTCGACAGGCACCCAGTGTCTCAAAGGAGAACTATGCTGGATGAACCTGGTCCTGCTATGTTCCCTTGACTACCATGGCATTACAATTGCTTTTGCATTTTCCCGGAAGAATATTATAATAAACCCTACCACCTAGATTTAACAGTAGATTTAACAGTATTTTCCATTTTCTATATTTACTTCTTTTTTATGCAAATCTCAGACATCATACAATATGAAGCTTTAAAAAATAAGGACGTTTTCTCTCATACAACTGTGATAATCTGCATTGTCCCACATAACCACATACTGTTATCGTACCTAAGGAAATGAGCAATAACCCCGTCACATCTTCTAATACCCAGTCTATATTCAAATTTCCCCAATTGTCCCAGTAATGAATTTGTACGGTTGGTTTGTTGGCAGCAAAGCTTTTTAAACAGTGTTCCCAACAGCCTTGGGCTTCTGCACAAAAGTCTTAGGGGCCAGCAAGGGTGAGGCCTAGCTGCCTACCCCCCGTCCCACTGCTTCAGCTAGAGCAGGTTTTATTATTAGGAACAAAAGTGTTTTCCTGTTAAGACAAAAAAGACTTGACAATCAATTCCACTAGGCATTACTTCTGTTATATTTTCAAAGAGTATGCCTGGCGTTGTAACTGCCTTAAATCAGAGAGCTAACTCTGCAGCAGTGGGATTAGGGAGGGCATGGGGGGGGAGCGGGGTGGGCGGGGAGATTAGCAGAGTCAGATGGCTGAACAGGAGAGATTTCATTCTCACTGGCCTTGAGCCTGGACTTGCACAAGTGGCCTTCCCAGTACCTGGAGTCCTGTGGGTCCACTTGGTAGCCTCCCCGCTGGATACTCACACTCTTTGCTCCCCGGGTGCCTGGATCGCACTCTGAATCTGTCCTCGTCCTTGCTCATTTGTGGGGCAGTGTGGCACACTTGGAGGTCAATGAATTTTGAAACCCTCCCCTGCTCAGTTTATATTTTCCACTTTCCTAGGTACACTCCCAAGAACCTGACTTCAGAGGAATGGTCTTCCAGAATTCTAAGCATTACAGTTTGCCATGACCAGGACAAGAGTAACACAGAGCGTGAATAACACAGACCCATGAGCAGCAAAGCAAGAGCTCTCCCATTACAGGTGCAGCACATCCGTAATCCGAGCCAGCCCCGGGCTGCAGCTGCTGGAACACCAGCCCACGAAGACAAGCCTGACAGCAAGAGAAGTAGGAGATTCTAGGAAATTCTGACCTTCTCAAGGAGCCTCAATACGCACAGTTTTCCATAAGAGTGCCACACCTCTCTCCTTCTGCAGGACGTGTGCCCAGATTAAGCTTCCAAAATATTCAATTTGCTTTTGAGGGGTTTTTTTTGTTCTTCTTTTTCTTTTCTACCCACCCTCCACCTTCACCCCCCTCCTCTCTGGCAACCATCAGTTTGTCCTCTGTATCTATAGGTCTGTTTCTGTTTTGTTTACTCATTTGTTTTTATTTTTGTTTTTAGATTCTACAAATAAGTGAAATCATATGGTATTTGTCTTTCTCTGCCTGGCTTATGTGCCTTAGCATAATCCTCTCCAGGTCCATCATGCTGTTGCAAACGGCAAGATTTCATTCTTTCTTATTGCTGAATACTATTCCATTACACAAACACACACACACACACACACACACACAATGTACTCTTTTTTATCAACAAACATTATTAATATTGATGCCTTTTATTTTGTGCTTTTGTACAGAGAACTTTTGAGTAATCATAATTGTAGTAAATGTTTCTGTCTGATAAATATCAAAATCTCAGTAGCATTCATTGTGGTCAAATCAGAATTTAACCAAAACTACCATATGCCAGCACATACAATCATCCCTCTGGTGGCTGAAAAACTGGCTCAAAGACATGGAGGGTACATGTTGATGAGGGAGGGCCATGCTTGCAGAAAGCTGGGTCTTTTTGATCAGTTTTAGTCTTTTTTTACTTCATTACCAATCTCCCCTCTGAACTTGAACATAAGAATCTGCTGACCATCCTTGAAGTCTAAGAAGACCTCCTGAAGATGCCACCTGTTAACCGGGGCATCCAGGATGAGCTGACCTGGAGACGGCCTGCTGACCTGGATCCAGAGCCGGGTGTCTTCAGCTGGGCATCAGCAATGCCCATGAAGTTGTACTTGTCAGTGAGTTGGAGACAATGAATGTTGAGGGGAGCACCCAGAGCTCCCAGGGCCTCGGGGTGGCTGTGCATCTGCTCCAGTACCAACCGCTAATAGGAAGCCCTGGAAAAAGCTTTTGTATAAAGTAATACAGGAGGGCACAGCCCCTACTAGTCGTCACACCGGTAAGGTGTTCCCAGAGGCACTGGCATCCTGCCTCCTAGAGACTTTGGCCACTTTGTAGCACAGCTTTCTTGAAAGCCATCACAGGAAACTTGTCCTGTCCAGGCTAGAAGTACCACGTCTCCGAAAGCACGAGGGTTCCTGCGGGTGTGAGAAGTTTACCACGTGCTCTTTGCCCACTCGTCTATCAGTGGACACTGATGTTGCTTCCAAATGTCAGCTATTTTAAATAATCTGCAGTGAACACAGGGTTTCATATAATTTTTTGAATTTGTGTTTTTGTCTTCAAATAAATAACCAGAAATGAAATTGCTGGGTTGTATGGCAGCTCTATTTTTAATTTTTTGAGAAATCTCCATACTGTTTTCCATAGGCTGCACCAATTTATAATCCCACCAACAGTGCATGAGAATTCCCTTTTCTCTACATCCTCGCCAACATTTATTTCACTTTTGAGATTCTTAAAGTTATATTTCAACTGATGATCTCTATCTGGTCTGTCCTGTTACACTGGAGAATCATAACCTCCATTAGGACAATAACAATGTTCCATTTATATACACACATATACGAATGAACACATATTTATCCACTAATATGCATATTATACACAAATTAACACAGCTTGGGCAGAAAACTTGAGAACATTTGAAATAAGTAATCCTTTCACAGATATTTTTGTAATTTTCAGTAAGTACCAATAAAACTCTACCTTGCTCTTGAATCTAACATTGAATATCTACTAAATACTTGGTTCTGTTTGGATATAAGAAATGCATAGCCTTGGCTGATGTGGCTGATTGGATTGAGCACTGGCCTGCAAATCGAAAGGTCGCCAGTTCAATTCTCAGTCAGGGCACATGCCTGGGTTGTAGGCCAGATCCCCAGTTGGGGGAGTGTGAGAGGCAACCGACTGATGTGTCTCTTGCACATAGATGTTTCTCTCGCTCTTTCTCCCTCCCTCCCCTCTCTCTAAAAATAAGTAAAGAAATCTTTAAAAAACAGAGAGATGGATAAAATATGGTCCCTTCCCCAGGCAGGATGTGTGCAGTTTAGTGGTGACACATACCTTCCCATGAGAATGATGAACTCTTGCCTATCCTTCAAAACTCAGCTCAAATGACACCTCCTCCAAGATGCCTTCCCTGCTTACTCAGGCATGTTTCATCTCTCTCTTCTGTCTGAGTCCATACTACTTGGTGAAAACCTCTAGAGATAAATTTTAGACAGTTACTGTAATTATTACTTTACCTGTGTCCCCCCTTAGACAAACAACTGGGTGTTTGGGGGAAGGGGAAGGGTCCTATAGCCTGCCCACGGTGACAGCTTCCCCCTCGCCCCATTCCTTGGATAGAGGCTTTTTTCTGGTAGGATGACAGACATGCAAATTAGCATTTGGAACATTGCTACTCCATGTAAACAAATGACAGTCCTCCCTGCCCCCTTTTTCTGAGAGTATAAGAATAAAGCATTCTTGCAGGGAGGGGGAACAGGTAGTCAAAGGGTAAAAAGTCTCAGAAATACAAGATGACTAAGTCCTAGAGATCCACAGTAGGGCCTACAGTTAACAATACTGTATGTACACTAAAAATGCTAAGAAACTATATAGATTTTATATTGTGTTAAAACACACAAAAAATAATAAATAAAGAGGCAGGAGAAAGCTTCAGGAGGGGATGAATATGTTTATGGCATAAAGTGTAGTCCTGGTTTCAATGGGGATATACCAGCTCACTAATTTTTATGTATTAAATGTGCACCATTTTTGTATGTCCATTGCATCTCAATAAACTGGTACAGAATAACCAATAAAGAGTGCTAGGCCTTTGTGAGAGATGTCTAATGGGAGGCACAGACTTGGAGGCTGGGCACCCTCACCTGCAGGAGATGAGGAGACTTGGGGGAGTGCTCACGCAGCATTATCTGAAATGGGAAAGACAGTAGTAGTTCATAATAATGGCTGTCAGGAGAAGGGGCAACCCCTGAAAAGAATCTGCTGGTAAGGGCCAGGGAAAAGTTACATCCGAGGAGGTGGGCACCTGAGGGAGAAGGTTCTGGCAGCCATGCTGAAGGGGAAAGAAGGTATGGCAGTGAGCTGAGGGCGGCAGGGCTCTCATTTAGGGTGCTGGGAGTCAGAGAAAAAATAGTGGCCAGAAGGAGCAGGCAAAACAAAGCAGGACCCTAATTCCAGGAACTTCGTTACCAATCAACCCAGGCAGAAACTCCACCAGGAGGAACAGGAGGGGACTCAGGCATTGCAGCTGGCGAGGAGGCACTGTAATACCGTGGTTTTAGAGCTCGGCCTCCATGAATGAGCAAATCATTCACCTTTCTAGGTCTTGGCCCACGTCCTAAAAGATGAGGCTACCAGATGAGCTGTTGAAAGGAATGAATGATATTATGCACAAAAATGACTTAATAAAGGACAGTGCCTGGAATATGTTAGGTACTAGAAAAGTATTTGTAGTAGTAATGGTTATTGTGGAGGGATTAACAGGAGCAGAGTTGGCTGTGATAATAATAATGAAGAACTAGTGAAAGGTTCAATGGCTAAAATTGAGGTAGCTGTGAATTGGCATTGAACTTGAAAGCAGGACACCAGATTCCAATACTATTTTTGCTGAATGATAGATATGTGATCTTGTTCCAGTCAATCAACTTCTCTGAGCCTCAGTTTCTTCAGCTGTCAAATGCAGGTGTTCACACTGCTTGCACCCTCCTCCCAGACTTCCTGTGCAAGTTTCATCAGCCCCAGGATCTGCCACCACAGCCCCTACCCATAGCAGACGCTTGATGAGTGTTGCCTGAACCTGATACTCACTGGGACTGACCTGATGCTGGATGCTATTTCACTTCCTCGAGGCAGGGTGAGGTCCAGTGTTTGGACCAGGTCTCATCTGAGGGACTGTGGTTCAGGGTGGGGGTGGGGAGGCAGAGAGTTAGGCAGGTCGCCATTCCAGCCTTTGAGTTAAAGGAACTTGGCACTTTTTCTAACTTTTGGCCATTTAAGTGTTAGATTCATTCATTAAAGTTGGGAGTAGATGAGAATCCAGGTCTGTGATTTTAAACTGAAGCCCAATTTCTGGGCTTTCTCGTAGCAGATGCAGTAAACTGGAAAATTTGAAAGTAAATACGTTTTCATGGACATGAACCACAGAGTGGTGATTGTGGGGGGAGGGAGGTACAAGGGGACTAAATGGTAATGGAAAATACAATAAAATTTAAAATGAGAGAGAGAGAGAGCCTCATTAAAAAAAAAGTAAACACATTTTGAAGAGAGACCAGAAAACCAAGATAGAAGTCCCTGCTTCTCTCTGATGAGGTCTTTGCAACCTGCAAATGATGTCATCATATTGTTACTTATAAAAGAACTAGACAAAAAGTTCTATTTTCACTTCCTTCCAAGCCATTCATGTGACAAGAAGGTGGTAGTGAGTCTCTAAGAACTGTTTCGTAACTGCCTTTGTGCCCTCTCAGAACTGTTTCGTAACTGCCTTTGCAAAACAGAGCCAAGCTGTCCCCGAGGGCACTCAGTGCACGGGCTCTGAGCAGGGCCGGCAGTGCTTGCTTTTGGCGTCACCTGCAGTGGGAGTCGTGGAGACCAGGCCTAGCTCACTCACGGCCTAGGCACATTCTCCCTCCAGGATTCAGGGGCCTGTCAAATGGGTATTGGATCAAATTAACAGTGTATTATTTTTAAATTTAACCTTTTCAAAAATATTTTATTTATTCATTTTTAGAGGGGAAGGGGGGAAGAAAGAAGGAGAGAAATATCAATATGTGGTTGCTTCTCACACGCCCCCTACTGGGGGCCTGGCCTGCAACCCAGGCATGTGCCTTGACTGGGAATCAAACCAGCAACCCCTTACTTCACAGGTCAGCACTCAATCCACTGAACCACACTAGCCAGGGCTTAATTTAATCTTTATTGTGTTTGTTTCCATTGCCATTTAGTCCCCTTACAACTCCCTGCCCTCAGCAATCACCACCCTGTTGTCCATGTTGATCAGTCCTTTTTCCTTTTTGTGCAATCCCTCCACACCTTAACCTCCTCACCAAACT